AAATTTCTCAGCCTAAAAGAGATTAAGCCAACCTGAGGTCACTGATCTTATGATGTAAAGGCAAATAAATAATACACAAGACAGATCATTATCTTTATATAGAATTAACAAAATGAGTATTCCCCATAGCACTGTCTGTTGGCCTAAGGGGACAAAAAGGTCATAAGCAGACCAACGGCAAAAATCACATCTAAGAGGATGCTGATCTCTGTGACATGTTGAACTCTATGACATAGGAGATATATAGATGGTATATAGGTGGGAATAGAAATACTATCTAATAGAGAACTTTATTCAATCTCACAAATCAATAACTGGGGAAATATGGTATTAAGTCACAAACTTCAAAAGACACAGTCCCGAAACATGTTCTCCATACACTGACATAGTCTGTTGAGAAGAGTCTCCAAGAGTCTGGCCATGGGACCATTGTCCCGGGCATGGCCCTGGTGACTGTCATGCTTGTGAAGGTGACAAATGCCACCGAGCATGAGTGGATTGTCCAGCACTAACACAAACAGAAATAAATATAAACACAGCCCGTTGGAAAATGGGCAGGAGAACATCTGAAAGCAGTTTAGTAAGGGAATATACACAATTTCTTCCCCTTGGCAAGAAAAAACAAAGGACCAAAGAGAACCACAAAGAGGATTACAGATGATTTCCAAAGAATCGTTCAAGCAATGGAAATTACTGCTCAGGAAACTTAAAAAAAAAAAAAAAAAAACCAAAAAAAACAGACTGCATGAGGATTTATTAATTAATCTCCTTCTAGTTTATAAATGGGCTCACTAAGAGGAGAAAACCAACCATCTGGTCTCCATGTTTGGTGAAACTGAAAATAGGCATAGCACAACACGAAGAATTATGAGGCTCATAAGCCTGAAAAAATTGCCATCATGACTTTGAACAGTATATATGCCATGAAATTCACCAGAATGAGAATCACAGGACCCTCATTCTAGTGTTTTGTGCAATAAATTAAATCAGTGTGACTTTAAGCAAGTCACATAATATCTCCAGTGTCAGTTTCCTTATTTGTAAAATGAGCATATTGGGTTAATACAAAAACCAAAGAAAAATATTATTACAAGCGTGGGCTTGGGATTCAAATTTTGACTCAATTAGGGTCAACTGTTGTGGGGGTTTTTTGCTGTTTTTACTATTACGTGTAAGTAACAGAAGTCCATTCTGGCCGATTATGCAGAAAAGGAGTTTATTAAAAGAATGTTTTTTGTGGAAACTTTGATTTGGAAAACTAGATTTAAGAGTAAGCTTTCAGGGAGGTTTTCAAGGTTTTTAGGAAGGTTTTAGAAAACCACATCGCAAATCTGGAATGATAAGAAAATGTATCATGAGGTGTTCAACATTGAAGTCTGCACCATTATGATTTCTGCACCAGAACTCAATTTTACTTTATTATAACCATGACTATCCCAGCAGCAAAAGAAGTTGGAATAGCAAGTATTTGGCCTTTTTTAACCCCTGTAGGAAAATGCAATTTGGCTCAGATTCCCTGGATGTATAAAAAGGTCAGATGCCAGATGGCCAAAATGAACTCAATCCTTTTGACCTCAAGCTAAGATTTATTGCTTACAATCATTTATGAAAGTTTGAGTGGTTTTATTCATCATCAAGAAGATGGTATACATCATTTCTTAAAGACTCTATGGTTCCATAATGAAAGGGCTAAAATATCTGTGACAGAGAAACTTCCAAATACTCTTGATATATAAACTGAGTTACTAGGTGGGCTCAGTATCCAGTATGTGAATTACACCCACTGGATTTATAGTTAGAATTAGGTCTTCAATTTTTAATTTACATAGTTGAAGTTTTCTATCTATTTATGTGCTACGAGAGACAGTAAATGGTTTCCAAGTCTTCGATTAGAAAAATAGAAGTTCCCAGAATTTAATGAACATTCTCTCATGAAAAACAAAAACCTATATTCTTTCTCTCTGAACTATTAATACATTTGTACTACTGGGGGAATGCATCCCACGAGAAGGACATCAGCCAGGAGGGGAAAGAGCCATTATAACTGGGCTTTATCTATTTTAAACTCAACTATAACAACAGTGCCAAAAATACCAGCAAACCAGCTCCCAACTGTCCTTTCTGAGTAATGGACAGCTATTCTAATCCCATGACTACCGCCCAGCGCTGTCTTAAATTGGCGTGTTCGGCCACCGCTGGTGCATTCCAAGCCCAGTGGGTGGTTCGTAGAGCAGATCTCCCCCGTGCATGAATTTCGTGGTGTCTCTGAACCATCCAGACTCTGTGATCCCAAAAAAATACCCTTGGGGAATTTTTGTCAAGTGTTTATAGAAACCGTAGAAAGATGATTAATAAGCTTTACTGCCCAATTATTTTGGCTCATAAGCAGATGAATCCTCCTATTCACGTGATGAGCACAAAATAGTTCCGTGATATTTTTAGCAATTATAGCAAGAAAGAAAAATTTAAAAGGTCAATCTGTCAGTTGCCTATTTTCAAACTATCAGACAAAGACTGTCAAATCAGAAATTCTGGAATAGCTACTTTAGTATTATGGGATGAAAGTTCAGTTTCTTCAACCTAAAGAATAAAACTACTACCAAATTTATACTACGTTTATTCCAATAATCCATTGAATAGACCTCTAGACATTTAATATAGATCAAAATGGTCTCAGAAGGATCATCATCAACCAAATGGTGAGCGTCAGACCAAGCAGGTGGATTTTAGTTTGGCAATTGAAATATGTCTCCTTATAAGCAATAGACATCAGATATGTCCTTCCAAAATTTGTGTAATAAAATAATTGGAAAGGATTTTAAATGCAGCAGAGTGTTTGCAATTTAAGGGCATGATAATTTTTTTCACAAGTGAGTATGTAAAGGAATGGATCTGTTATAAATGATTATAGACTTTCATATAACAAGGCAAAATGTGGGGATTAAGCGGATGGTCTCTGAAACCAGATGGCCTGGGTTCAAATCCTGGCTTTGCCTCTTCCCAACCATGTGACCTCAGCAAATTACATAATCTCTCTGGGCTTCAGGGTTTTCTGTAAAAGGAGACAGCAGTAGTCCTTAACCTCGGACACTGTTGAAGCCTTATGACAGTGTCTGGCACATGGCAAGTGTCATATAGGTTTTTGTTAGAAGATAAGTAGCCAGAACTTTTAATATATCTCTGAAAATATCAACTTCATATTTTTATGAAAATTCTTGATTGAGATAGAGCTCATTGAATTCTTAAGGCATTTTTTCCCCTAGAAATATAAAACATTTCATTTCTCAGTGCTACAAAAGTTCTGCTGCTAGGTGATTATGCGAGAATATAGGGGAAGAAAAAATGCAAGAACTCTTGAGGCAAATATTTAAATATTCAGTAAAATAAATAAACACCTGGTTGTTGGGGGCAAAAAACAATCAAGGCAAGGTAGAACACGCATCTGATACCTTTTTTTTTTTTTAATTTAAAGCAATATTATAGAAACTAGGAATAAAAAAGTGATCACAACTGGAGACAAAATTTACACTGTGATCCAAAAACCTTTGAGCTAATACTTACAAAAGAATTGAGAAAATCCCAAGTTGGTTTATATAAAGATTTAACAGTGAAACTGGAAGTTGTTCTATGTTTGATTTTAAACAAACTATCATATAAAACAATGTCTTTAAACAACTAACATATGACTTTTAAGAACACACATAGAAAAATATTTGGAAAAACAAACAAATTTAACAGGAACTACTTCGATATATGGGCAGAATGATGCACTGGCAGATGTTTCTCTTAATCTTATACATTACTACGTTTTTCGCCTTCTGCATTACAGTTTTTTCCAACAACATGTATCATTTTGTAGTATAAAACTTCTTAAAGTATTACTTGTAGAAGTTAGCAATGAATGCTGATATTTGGTCCCTTATATTCACTTTTCTTCAAAAACCGCAGTAAAGTCTAATGACCAAGAGCTCTGACTACACCTAAGTGGGAAGTAAGTGTACCCTTCCCCAGAAAATATGCTATTGCAGATCAGCAGCAATGGATCAGACCCATACTCGACTCGGGGCCCCTCAAGTTGCTTTCAGGTCTTTAACCTCTAGAAAAAATAAAGATAGCACCGGTGTCTTTAATATCTAATATCTAATAAAGAGAAGAACCAGAACTACTCCTCCCCATAAAATGCCAAGGGTTTTTACGAAGGGCTGGTTGGTTTTACCAAGGGTTGATATTCTATTTGCACTGAGAACCGTATTGCTCCCCACAAGGAGATCAAATATCAGTAAACCTCTCTCACCATCTTGTCGGCTTTGAAGACAGATTTAAGTCCCCCACTAGCTACCCCAATATTAGCCAGTCCACTTCTTCAAATGTTAATCTTCAAAATGTTTCTATTTAGGGGCTTACGTGGCCTTGCTGGGCACATGAGGCAGCCCAAATCCAAGGAGGCAAGAAAAGAATTGGTAACTGTTGACTATATTATCACATGCCTAGAACAGTGCCATGCGTATTTGATGTATTATCTCCTTTAATCAAAAAGCCGATATTATCCCCACTTCATATGTGATAATACTGAGGCTCTAAGAAGCTAAGTCATTTGCCCAAAGCCCCATAGCCATCGAGTCATGGAGCCGGGCGAGCCCCACTCTGACCCCTTGCTGGCACACCATAGAGACTCCATGTTACAGCAGAGCCCTGGATTCAAAGTACAGTCAGATCCTGTGATGATCAGGCATTGGTGAGTTTGAATGACAATAATCATGATTAATTTGTCCAGCATGTCACATGTTTTCACAACACTTATCACAAGCAAGTTGCTGAAGCACAAAGCATGGTATTCAAATCCACATAAAGGAGACCTTGACTTTATCCTCTGACCAGGTCACTATTACTCGTCAATGATAAATAGGTTCCTTTTATGATTTTGAAAATAACTGAGGAACTCAAACTAAAGGTTTTATTGTTTTCTTCTCTGCCTCATACAATCCACCCGGGATTTGCAGGAAAATGGACAAAGAAAATACGGCGGCCCTCCACCGGGCTGGGATGCTGCACCCCCAGAAAGAGGCTGTGAAATTTTTATTGGAAAACTTCCCCGAGACCTTTTTGAGGATGAACTTATACCATTATGTGAAAAAGTGAGTCCAAATTTAATATCTTTTCTTAGCTTTCAGGGTTAAAAATACTACACACTTTGTTTAGTGCTCATTCTTCTTGGTCAGTGATGGCTTCTCTTCCAATAGCCATTCTTCAACATGGACAAACTCAAAACCTTCCTGTTAGTGGCTGTCCCCTTATTGTCACGGCCTTGATGTAGCTCTTCCTATTCCTGATGGCTTGAACTACCGCTGCTGGTAACTTTCAAGTTCTGATCCTGAGTTTGCAGCAAGATAGCCATCAGTCTATACTACTACTACAACGACCTCTCCAAAGTAAGATATTGCTCCAACTTGACATTTTAATATGGTTTTCTAAAGTGTACCATTTCACATTCAAAGAGTATGTGTATGTTTGTCATGGCTCAAATGTATACCTATACATATTGATTCAGAATGAAATTTCCTTCTACAGGTTTGATCTGCTTGCCCTAATGCATTAACAAGATTAAGAATGGGGTTTCTCAAAGTCATTATATAATTAAGGAACACATTTCCTCAGTTTTAATTCCAAATCTTATATTGTTACTAAACCCAAAGTTACAGGGAGAACAGAAAATTAAAATTTTCAATATTTTACCAAGTGGTGCTTCAATAACCACATTCCTGGAAAATTTAGAAAAGCTAGAGTCTTGCTATTTCTTTCCCTAAATGCCAAAATCAATTGTGTGTATGTGTATAGCTCAGCCTCTGATTCAGAACTGCTCCTAATTTTATACAAACAATTTCACTTGGCATGTGCACAAATTATGAGGATTTAATTCTGTAAGAATTTTATATACTGAACTTGAAAATGAGCCCAGGAAACACCTGAAACAGATGAAACATGCTTGAACTCTTTCTTAATGAGCCCTGGATAGATAGGTGTCCACCACTGAATACCGTAGGGTGGGGTAGGGTGGGGTGAGGTGGGGTGAGGTGGGGTGGGTGGGGTGGGGGAGGCTGAGCCAAGGGGTAATCAACCACCAAGAAGCACACATTTAATGACACCTCTTCTCCCTGCACATGCCTGTCCTATCTATTAGGGCCACTGGTCATACAGCAGCCAGCAAGAATAAATTACTGAGTCTGGGTTGCTGGAAAACATTTGGGATAGCAGGAAGGAACAGTATATAGGCAAAGCAAAAGAGCTATAGTCAGAGGGATAGAGTGCCCTCCTACTGTGGAGCTCCCAACCTTGGGCCGATTGAGTAAAACAAACATCTACCTTCAGCCTACAGATCAAAACAACAACAGGAATCCCCAGATCATCCTCTGAAACACATCTTCCCTGGGTATCTTGAGGTCATGGTGGGAGAAAGATAAGAAATCAGTTAGAAAGATTCCAAGTGGAGAGTGTCCCGGGTCAGTGGTAGAGTATGACCAAGCAAAGATAAAACTATGGAAACTTGAGAGGCCAAGGTAGAGGGCAAGGACAAATCTATCGTGAAATTGTATTTCTGATGACAAATGCATTCTCAGGTCCCAAGGACAATGGATAAATCCACAGATAATTGTGTGATGAAAGGCCATTTGCTCTGTCGAAAACATATTCTGTTAAGTCAAGCTGAAATGCACTTGTATACGTTTTCTTTATTTAACTTGACTTTGGCCGTGAGTCAGATAACAGATCTGAACCCAGCATGAAAATATGCAAACCATTCCACATGGGATGCAAATGCCAAATATGGCAGAGATAAGACTTCAGAAAATAGTGTGTGTTTTCATTTGGAAGTACAAATGTACAAACGTGAATTCTCTCTTTTACTTGTAGATTGGTAAAATTTATGAAATGAGAATGATGATGGATTTTAATGGCAACAATAGAGGGTATGCATTTGTAACTTTCTCAAATAAACAGGAAGCCAAGGATGCAATCAAGCAACTTAACAACTATGAAATTAGGTAAGATCCACTTCTTCTGATTAAAAGTGAAGCAGACAAGCAAAATAAGTCAATCAGAGAAAGACATGTATCATATGACCTCACTGATATGAGGAATTCTTAATCAAAGGAAACAAACTGAGGGTTGCTGGAGTGGGGGGTGGGGTGGGAGGGATGGGGTGGCTGGGTGATAGACACTGGGGAGGGTATGTGCTATGGTGAGTGCTGTGAATTGTGCAAGACTGTTGAATCACAGATCTGTACCTCTGAAACAAATAATGCAATATATGTTAAGAAAAAAAAAAAGAAGATAGGAGGGGAAGAATGAAGGGGGGGAAATCGGAGGGGGAGACGAATCATGAGAGACGATGGACTCTGAAAAACAAACTGAGGGTTCTAGAGGGGAGGGGTGGGGAGATGAACCATGAGAGACTATGGACTCTGAAAAACAAACTGAGGGTTCTAGAGGGGAGGGGGGTGGGAGGATGGGTTAGCCTGGTGATGGGTATTAAAGAGGGCACATTCTGCATGGAGTACTGGGTGTTATGCACAAACAATGAATCAGGGAACACTACATCAAAAACTAATGATGTAATGTATGGTGATTAACATAACAATAACAAATAACAAATAGAAAAAAAAATTTTCATCCAAAAAAAAAAAGTGAAGCAGACAATGCACCCTGTATCTGTTCTTCCATCAAACTTATCTAATATGGTATATGCAAAAGACAGGCAAATCAGAAATAAAAAAGGTTTCTTTTCTTTGGTGAAAATCAATTTGATAAAATATGTATTTAATGTCAACACTACATAAGGTGTCAAACTAAGTTTTGTGAAATGCTCAAAGAAACAAAAATCATTAATTCATCTGTTTCATGAATATGTTGATGGGCACTGTTCAAAATATTGGAAATATCAAGATGCCTTTTCCCATCCTCATAGTAAACAAATGGGTATAGAAGATTTTTAAGAGTATGAAAATCCATGAGGACTCTAAAAAAGCAAATAAAACAAACAAAAAGCAGAACCAGACCTATAAATACAGGGAACAACCTGATGGTTGCCAGAGGGAAGTGGGTGGGGGGATGGGCTAAATGGGTGAAGGGGAGTGGGAGAAACAGGCTTTCAGTTATGGAATGAGTCAGTAATGGGGATGAAAGGCACAGCACAGGGAACGTAGTCAATGGTATTGTAATAGTGTCGTACAATGGTGAATAGAGTGTAATATACAGAGAAGTCAAATCACTGTGAAAGTAATGTCACATTGTTTGTCAACCACACTCAAAAAAAAATTTAGGTATGAAAAAAATCAAACCACCTCTAAGGAGGGGGCTACTCTAACTTGGTGTATTTAAGAAAATACTCTCCAGGAAAGTACAATTTTACCTGAGACTTGAAAGAGTCAGCCATGACAGCCATATCTGGGGGAAGATTATTCCAGAGAATAAGAACAGCATGTGCAAAGTTCCCCAAATGAGAACAAGCTCGAGGTGTTAGAGAACAAAGCCAATGAAGTAGAAACAGAGAGGAGAGCTGAAGGCAATGTACTCTGAGAGACTTACACTCCATGATTCAAAATTTGCCTTTTATTCTAATAAAAGGGAGAAGACATTTCATTAGATTCATGCTTTTAAAAACATAACTCTGGCTGTTGGGTGAAGAATGGACTGTAGCAGGGAAAGAGGGAAGCCAGAGGGAAAGCTACAGCTGAGAGTAGTCTAGGTCTAGACAAGGGATGCTGGCAGGTGCGCAGGGCCTGGTGATACAGGTGGCCAGAGGGGTCGGACCTGGGGTACGTTCTGGGGGCTGAACAGACAAAACTGGCTAAATAATGGATTTAGAGTGAGAGCGATATTAGAATTCAGGGAGGAAAGCTAGGATGTTGGTCCCAGTATCTGTGGATGAGATAGGGTCATTGAGATGGGAAGACCTGGAGAATAGCTGGAAACTCGAAGAGCTTAGTTTGGGGAATTTACATGTGAGAGTCACATTAGACAGCCCCAGGGGAGCTGTTGAAGTGGTGATTGTATGATATTGGAGCTAGGAGAGAGGCCTCAGAGCCAGCCAAACATAGGTAATATTGCAAATCATGGGACTGGTGGAGGATTCCAGGGCATAACTGACCTGGTGCAATCAATAGCTGGTTTTTAATCAACTAGAAACAGGGCTAACATCGTGAAATTGCCTGAGTTCTAAAACCTTCACCTAGAGACGGAACTGTCCTAAATCATCTCTTAAAGGAAGCCGTGGGGCACCTGGAAGAAAGATCAGTGACGCAGTTGAAAAGCAACAGGTTTGGGATCAGACAGGCTTCACCTGAGTGCCAGCAAGTGGCTTCACCTCTCCAAGCCTCAATGTGCTCATCCCTAAAGTGGGGATCCTACAGACTTTTAAATGCTTATCCCAGTGTTTGGAACATGGTAATAGGTCAATAAATGATAGAACTCTTACATATTAGCACATTCAGCAATTCTAAGATATAATTTTCATATAGGTCCTTTCAGCATCTTAAAATTAATGTCATCTTAATGTGAATACAGAGAGATTTCCTACCATTTACTGTCTCTCACTTCCTACAGGCCCCAAATAAGTCCTGCATTATCCTGAGAATTCTGTAAGTCAATCAATTACTAGGTCATTTTTCTTAAACCCCTTAGCCGCAAAAAGATGGACTCGATTGGCAACCGTAGTAGCCTAGCCACTCAGTCCCAAGGTCGGATCCAGGAACAGAGTTTTGGAGGAGAGTATAAAGGAAGTTTCCCTCCCACACAGGCCTCCACAAATCGAAAAGAACTCTGTCTGGTATGTGGAGGGTTGTCTGGTGTGGGAACCAGGCGACCAGAGAACAGGTTTCTTCAGACAAATCCTGGGACCATCAGCACCTAATTACTCACACCTTCTCAGCATCTGTCATAGGAGATGATGTACACTGAACTGTTTTTGGAAAGGGCTCCAGAAAGCTCTATTTTAATATAGCTTTTTAATAGGACAGGTACAAGATTTCAGGGATCAGTAGAGTCCCCATTCCTTGGTCCTTCATGGAGCCTAGACATCTGGAAAGTGAGGGTTATTCTCAAAATGGCTTTTAGTTTGAGATGGATGGAGACTTGGCCACACAGGGAATCAGCACGGTTTGCTGTATGTACTCAACACTTTGTTACACACTGGGGCCTGTCCACGTTTTCTGAGAACAAATAGGGTGTGAAAAACGAGCACAATCAATCCATTCTAGTCACTCATATGTAACACTGATACATCTCTGTGAATTTCAGTGTCTTCATCTATAAAAGAGAAAGATACTTACCTCATAGGGGTATTATGAAAAATAAATAGATAATGCAGGCAAAGCTCACGTGGTCTGTGAGTGTTTGCTGAGGATTACGGTGGAGGAGGGGGAGGAGGGTGGGGAGGAGGAGCAGGAAGAGGGGAAGGAGAAATATTACAAAGCATTTGGAAAGAGCAGGCTGGTGGCCACATTCCAGTCAAAGTTCAGGTTGGATGCCAGAAACAAAGGGGAGGCACAGAGGTACTTTTAATCAAGGTGTAGGATAAATAGAATATGAAATAGTAGCAGAATAGATATCCCAGAGCCAACGTCCCCTACTTCCACTCCATCCTAGATCAGTCCTGCCAGAACAGAGAACCTTGCCTGCAGAGAACAGGATAATCTTCGATTTGCTTTTAGCCACTATTTCTCGGGGGATAGATAAGGTTCTTATCCGGAAAAGACCCATCATTGTCCTACCATCCTCCTCATCATCAAATATTTACTGAGATTTGTCTAAATGCCTGGCTTCTGGAGACATTAAAGCCATGCCCTCAGCGTGTGAGAGATGGCTTTTCGTCTCCAAGCAGTTCTGGGAAAGTGCCTGACTTAACCACACAGATTTAAAAATAGGACACAGAGACTCCAGACTCCACCTGCTGGTAACCGATACCTGACTGGCCCTCCTTCAAAAATAATAGAATTTCTAAAGAAATAATATTTTGGAATAGAGGGGTTTTTTAAGAAAACAACAACAACAAAGACAAAACCCCTGAAAGATGACTTTATCCACCCTTCCCTACCCACAAGGAAAAGCACATTCCTTGGGCGACGTTCACCAGACTGTAACAGACCTGTCGCAACTCTGCTAGGAGGTCCTCAGTTCTTCTGCAAAGCACGGAGGACAGGTAGGACAGGGGCCGATCCTGGTGAGCATACCTGCCACCCCACTGAGCACCGCTACTTCCGAGAAACCAGAGCAACCTCCCACTCACCGAGCTGAGCGCCTCTCTTCACGACATGCAGGGAGTTTCCGTGAAAGGAACTTTACCCATTTTAAGAACTTTAATAACTTTGTGTTATTATGAAAGTCACACAACAAACGGCAAAAAAAAGGGGGGGGCAATTAAAATTCAAACCATTCCTCCACAATCCCATTGCCCCAAGATAATCACTATGTCAGCTTTTTACTTTTTAGTATCTTCCTAGATTTTCGGTATGGTGCTCATCAAAATGGTCTTCTCATATACTTATCTTGAAGTCTTTGTTTTTTAAGCCAGTAGCATAGGGTGAGCTGGTTTTTTAACCAATAAATATTCTTCTGCATTACCACGTTGAAATGACTATCGAGCTTTCTACAGTATAAATGCCCAGCTTTTGAGTATCAGTGGTTCTCAGCCAGAAGCAATAGTGTGCACCCCAGGGGACATTTAGAAAGATGAAGAGGCATTTTTAGATGACCTGACAGGTGACTATTAGCATTTAGTGCACAAGAACCCGGGGTGACCAAGATACTGCTGTGCACAAGGAAGAAAGATCCAGCCCCAGAGTCATTATGCATCTCAGCCAAGATGCATAAAACTGGTCCTGGATGGTGGGATATTTTGGTTATATCCAATCTGGGGACTACTTAAATAACAGCAGTGAATATCCTGATACCAAAATGTTGGTTCATCTCTTTCTTAAAGACACTTTCCCAGAAGGGGCACTATTTGCCCCCAAAATTATATACGAAAGATTTTTGATACATTTTCCCAAGTGTCCCCCAGAAAAGCTTGACCTGCACTCTGCAGTGAAGTGAAAGTAGACATGAACTTGCTCATGAGCAACACTGCGCAGCAGAATCAGGAAGGAACAGAGAGTCTGGAGGCCAATTGCATCCCTTAAAATCTACAAAAGCTTAAGCAAGTCATTCAATTTCTCGGGGTCTCAAGTTCTTCATCTATAAAATGGAAACAGCACCTGCTCTACCCATCTTCCTTGTGTAGGCCAAGTAAGAGAACACGTGAAAGCCTGTTCAGCATTAGGGACAATTTCTAAGGGCCATCATGTTAAGTTGCTTCCCTATTTGGCTGGGAAGGAAAGGGAGCTCACAACTGTCTGGGGCCAGATAGCCTACGTGAATAATGGGGGCAAGGTGCACAGGCCTCGGGGTCAGGGATTATCCTGGGCAGTGAGGAAACAACAGGAAAAGACCAAACATCCCACATCCGCAGACCGTATCAGGTCCAGGGTCAAACATTTTACAGCTTCCATCTTAAGCCTCAATCACACAAGGATTCTTGCTGAGCAGAAAGAATGCTTTTTTTTTTTTTTTTGCAGAAATGGGCGTCTCTTAGGGGTGTGCGCCAGTGTGGACAACTGCCGACTGTTTGTGGGGGGAATCCCGAAGACCAAGAAGAGAGAAGAAATCCTAGCAGAGATGAAAAAGGTCACCGAAGGAGTTGTCGACGTCATCGTCTACCCAAGCGCTGCAGATAAAACCAGAAACCGGGGCTTCGCCTTCGTGGAGTACGAGAGTCATCGGACGGCTGCCATGGCCCGAAGGAAGTTGCTGCCAGGTTGGCACCCCTCCTCAAAGAGGAGACCGCCCCCCCCCCCCTGCTGCTTGCCTGCCCCAGGACGCTGTACACCTTAGCGAAGGAGGCAGAAGCTGGGTGTTGTGTGTTTGCTCTGGAGCTTTGCTTACTTGGTACTTTAAACCCCTTCCCCTCCTTATCTATGTCACAGTAGATGCAGCTCCCTGAAGTTTTCACTGACTAGTTCTGAAACGTATGCACGGAGGCTAATGAACGTGCGCTAACCCCGTGATGAAGTGTTACAGTGAAGAATCTTCTCAAAAGTGAATATATCTGCTGTTTTCGTATACAGAGGTTGTTAGCAGGCTTACTAGGAATGGAGTAGATTGTCCATTACGATGTCGAATAAACCTGGGAGTGACACATTATCCCAATGACAGCTAAGTGACATGAACTTGTATTAGGACTCCCCAGGGTCTAATATTTTCTAATTTGGGGAGAATAGAAATAATAGCGCTCCACAGAAAGGCACCTGTTAGGTACTACCACCACGGGGTGGGTCCCCTTTGGGCAACGACCATCAATTCCTGAATTTAAAGGACTCTACACCAAGACCCTGATCAGCTTTAGGGAAATTGTTGAAAATCCTCTGCTCATTCTCAAATATTCACTAAAACTTACACAAAGTAATTTATTAAGATGAATCAATATTAAAATGGTAAGAGGATTTCAAGAATGACAGAGTGGAGACATTGGAATCCACTCTTCTCTTGACCACCATGGAGAGCCACCAGAATTAAAGACAAACCACCACCACCTAAATTTATATTGTCCCTTAAAAACAAACTATGAATGAGTAAGTCAGGGGATGAAAGGTACAGCATAGGGATATAGTCAATGATATTGTAATAGCATATGATGACAGATGGTAGTGACACTTGTAAGCAAGAGAGAATCTTAAGCAGACTCTATGCTGAGCACAGAGCCCAACATGGGGCTCAATCTCGCGACCCTGAGATCATGACCTGAGCCGAAATCAAGAGTCGGTTGGAAGCTCAACCAACTGAGCCACCCAGGTGCCTCAGGGAGGATTTTTTATTAATATTTTCACGAAGGCAGGGGCGCCTGGGTGGCTCAGATGGTTAAGCGTCTGCCTTCGGCTCAGATCATGATCTCTATCTAGGTCCTGGGATGGAGCCCCATGTCAGGCTCCCGGCTCAGCGGAGAGTCTGCTTCTCCCTCTCCCTCTGCCTCTCCCCCTGCTCATGCTCTATCTCTCTGTCTCAAATGAATTAAAATATTTTTTTTTTCATGAAGGCAGCTGAAGTGAAAAGATAGGAGATAGCCCCCAAAGTTGCCAAATCCATTAGAGAGATGGGTATTTTTCATACTTCCTTTCACTACTGTCACCACCCGATAGTCAGATCCTGGGCCACACAGGTGCAGAGAATCCCCTGACACTCCTCCTGAGGTGTCCTTAGCCCCTCGGTGACCTGAACTTAATCTTTGGTATCCTCTTCAACTCCCCTCTTCAACAGTTCTTCCATGAAAAGTCCCTTGTATCCATCCTGATCTCAGACCATCGTTGGGGTCTAAAAATATATTTCCAAACAGAGACTGTTTTCAAAAACTCCAGATTATTCTCCCAGCTCTGCTCTCTTTTGGATGTACCCCACTCTCTGCCTCTTCCATCCTGAACATCCCCACCAGATTAGCATTCCCCATATATCAGGTCATCCTTTTGACAATTCTGGCGAATAGTGGGAATTTGATCTCTACGTGTCGGTGGGCTGAATGGTGCTGCTCACTCATCGGTTCAACAATAATCACCCACTACTTGCTGCCGAGGAGACCGAGAACAAACTGAGCCTATTGTTCAAGGCTCCAGTCCTTTCCAGACATATTTCTTACCTTCCATTTCCCAACAAAACCCTTCTTTCTAGCAGGATCAACTCCCCTGTGTTTTAGGCAATGCCATGCTGATCATTGTCTCCTTTATCCCGAAAGCTGTATCTCCCACTAGAATGACCTGCACCCTCCCCTCCTCTGCTGACCCATGGCATTCAAGGCCCCAGCTGAGCTGAGTTTCTTCAGCTGCGTGTGAGTCTGAGGGCGTCCTCAGCAGACGGACCATGAATGAGCAGACCAGAGCCGACTGTTCATTGCTGTTGTACCTCGTGAGCAAGTCGGCTACCCACTTGGACACCCTACTTATTACCTCACTGTCGATTCAACAACAATAGAGGATTTGGGTCACTGGCAATCATCTGGAGAGTCTAGTTTGAAAGAAGGTGATCTTTAGCAAACATGATAAGAGCCACAAGCAGCTCCTCCTTCTTAACTGATCCAGACTTGGAGACAGAAAACTGTTGTCTAATGTGACGTGTTGCTCCCCCAGCCACCTACCTCCCCTGCAGACAGTGGCAGCTCTCTCCCAACACTGTATCCTTGCAGAGGTGTGTGTGTGCAACACAGTCTTGGCGTCCAACCCCGAGGCTAGCGAGCATCGTGAGGACGCTCTGAGGAAAGTTCTTGCAGTGGTTCCACCATCAACCAGCGCGGAGATCACCTGGAGGGCTCGTGAAAGTGCAGAGGGCAGGGCCCACCCCCAGAGTTCCTGACTCAGTTGATCTGGTGTGGCGCCTGCTCATTTGCATTTGTAACGAGTTCCCAGGATGCTACACTACCAAGACCCAAGTTTGAGAACCCTTGATCTAAGTCAGTGGCTGTCCATCGTGGGCTGCAGATCTGAATAACCTGAGAAGGTTTTTAAACAATACCAGAAACCAAATCAACCTCAGATCAGCTGAATCTACTTCCCTGAGGTGCAGAGTAGGGCCCTGGTGTTTTAAGTTTTCCAGATGATTTTGTTGTGTGGCCAATGTTGTGATCCACAGCTAACTCCATTGGCTCAGGATACTGGCTGTCACCTGCTGGGGAGGTCAGTAAGAACATATGGAGGAGTAAATGGGAAGGTCACTGCTAACCATACCTCCTCCAATTCTGCCCACTGCAGCCTTCTGCAGACCTTCAGGCCGGCTGACGGCTTCCTGTGGTCCCAGGCCAGGATGGCAAAGGCTAATGGGCTAGAATAGGGTTCTCAATTTTGGCTGAATTAACTGAGGTGCTTTCAAGAATCCTGAGGCCTGTCATACAGGAATTCAGTAAAGTGGCAGGATATAAAATCAATGCACAGAAGTCAGTGGCATTCCTATACACCAACAACAAGACAGAAGAAAGAGAAATTAAGGAGTCGATCCCATTTACAATTGCACCCAAAACCGTAAGATACCTAGGAATAAATCTAACCAAAGAGGCAAAGGATCTTTACTCAGAAAACTATAAAATACTCATGAAAGAAATTGAGGAAGACACAAAGAAATGGAAAAACGTTCCATGCTCATGGATTGGAAGAACAAATATTGGGAAGATGTCAATGCTACCTAGAGCAATCTACACATTCAATGCAATCCCCATCAAAATACCATCCACTTTTTTCAAAGAAATGGAACAAATCATCCTAAAATTTGTATGGAACCAGAAAAGATCCCGCATAGCCAGAGGAATGTTGAAAAAGAAAAGCAAAGCCGGCGGCATCACAATTCCAGACTTCCAGCTCTATTACAAAGCTGTCATCATCAAGACAGCATGGTACTGGCACAAAAACAGACACAAAGATCAATGGAACAGAATAGAGAGCCCAGAAATGGACCCTCAACTCTATGGTCAACTCATCTTTGACAAAGCAGGAAAAAATGTCCAATGGAACAAAGACAGTCTCTTCAACAAATGGTGTTGGGAAAATTGGATAGCCACATGCAGAAGAATGAAACTGGACCATTTCCTTACACCACACACAAAAATAGACTCCAAATGGTTGAAAGACCTCAATGTGAGACAGGAGTCCATCAAAATCCTAAAGGAGAACACAGGCAGCAACCTCTTTGACCTCAGCCGAAGCAACTTCTTCCTAGAAACATCGCCAAAGGCAAGGGAAGCAAGGGCAAAAATGAACTATTGGGACTTTATCAAGATAAAAATCTTTTGCAAAGCAAAGGAAACAGTCAACAAAACCAAAAGACAACCAACAGAATGGGAGAAGATATTTGCAAATGACATATCAGATAAAGGGCTAGTATCCAAAATCTATAAAGAACTCATCAAACTCAACACCCAAAGAACAAAGAATCCAATCAAGAAATGGGCAGAAGACATGAACAGACATTTTTCCAAAGAAGACATCCAAATGGCCAACAGACACATGAAAAAGTGCTCAATATCGCTCGGCATCAGGGAAATCCAAATCAAAACCTCAATGAGATACCACCTCACACTAGTCAGAATGGCTAAAATTAACAAGTCAGGAAACGACAGATGTTGGCGGGGATGCAGAGAAAGGGGAACCCTCCGACACTGTTGGTGGGAATGCAAGCTGGTGCAGCCACTCTGGAAAACTGTATGGAGGTTCCTCAAAAAGTTGAAAATAGAGCTACCATACGATCCAGCAATTGCACTACTGGGTATTTACCCCAAAGATACAAAAGTAGGGATCCGAAGGGGTACATGCACCCCGATGTTTATAGCAGCAATGTCCACGATAGCCAAACTGTGGAAAGAGCCAAGATGTCCATCGACAGATGAATGGGTAAAGAAGAAGTGGTATATCTATACAATGGAATATTATGCAGCCATCAAAAGGAATGAGATCTTGCCATTTGCAACGACGTGGATGGAACTGGAGGGTATTATGTTGAGTGAAATAAGTCAAACAGAGAAAGACATGTATCATATGATCTCACTGATATGAGGAATTCTTATTTGCAGGAAACAAACTGAGGGTTGCTGGAGTGGGGGGTGGGGTGAGAGGGATGGGGTGACTGGGTGATAGACACTGGGAAGGGTATGTGCTCTGGTAAGCGCTGTGAATTGTGCAAGACTGTTGAATCTCAGATCTGTACCTCTGAAACAAATAATGCAATATATGTTACGAAAAAAAAAAAGAAGAAGAAGAAGATAGCGGGAGAGGAAGAATGAAGCGGGGGAAATCGGAGGGGTAGACGAACCATGAGAGACGATGGACTCTGAAAAACAAACAGGGTTCTAGAGGGGAGAGGGGTGGGAGGATGGGTTAGCCTGGTGGTGGGTATTGAGGAGGGCACACTCTGCATGGAGCACTGGGTGTTATGCACAAACAATGAATCATGGAACACTTCATCTAAAATTAATGATGTAATGTATGGGGATTAACATAAGAATTAAAAAATTAATTAATTAATTAATTTAAAAAAAAAAAAAAGAATCCTGAGGCCTGGACCACTCCTATCAAATTCAGGAAGGAGAGTCCTGGGGTCAGGAATGAGCTGGTCAATCTTTCATAGACAACTCCCGGGGAAAATCCAAGCCCTGACTTGTAACATTGCAGATCCCCGTGGAATGAATGGTACCACTGTGGCTGATTCCAAGCTACCAAGATGGCCTCAACTGATTTATAAAACTGAACATGTAACTGTCTAGTATAGCAAGTGGAAAGGAATTGGGTCCAGCACACCAATGAGTGGGACTCAGGTTGGGTATTTCTTAAAGCTCTTCCAAAACAACTAATAAAAAACACACAAGATTTCCAATCAAATTTAGAAATTGAGTTGACCACCCCACCCTACTTCCCCCCCACAGAGTGACTATGAGCAGGAACTGAGGTAGCAAATGGAAAACACAGTATATAGGGCAAGATGCTCAATAAATTGCAACTTTAGAAATACAAGAATAGATGTAGTCATGGGTAACGACTACCCCTTCAAAAAGAATTCAGTTTCTCATCACAGACCCTTCCATTGCTGTCTTCTTGAATGCAATAAAATATTTTTGTGCAGATTCCCAAGTTGTCCATGTGCTGTCAGGAAACTGGAGGGAACACGGCAGATGAGAGCCCTGACCAAGTGTAGGGTACAGAGAACAAACTAGGGGTCCCTGAGCCCTGCTCACTCCTGCCCACACATCAGTTTTTAGCTCGGTGGTGGCAACTGGTCATGCAGCTCCCAACAAGAGCAAACATACTTCCTAATGACCTTTTTAATGCTTCATGAAGTCAGACTCTAGGTCAGAGCCCTAAATCCATGTTTTCTCCTTTCTCCCGTTCTGCCACCTCCCTTTCAACAACTACCTCCCCACACCCTGCGAGAGCTGGCCCAAGACCCAAACCTGCCCATTGCTGCCTCATTTCTGTTCCATTTCAAACCACATCCTAGTTCCCTTTATGCTCAATTATTACAATAAGCCATCTGTCACACAGGACTCCCTTCTGGCTAGTTCTGCCATTTAATTGGAAGTTTTCTTAAAATCAATCATCACCTCTTATAATATTGGTTTTCAGGCTCCATCAAGATATGCTCAAAAGCATTGGTTGCATTTAAAAGGCCATCTCAGCGAACCAAGATGATATTGTCCTGATTTCTGTGTAACTAATCATACTTGTGATCCTTCTGAACAGGAAGGATTCAGTTATGGGGACATCCTATCGCAGTAGACTGGGCGGAGCCCGAAGTGGAGGTGGACGAGGACACAATGTCTTCGGTGAAAATCCTGTACGTGAGAAACCTGATGCTGTCTACCTCGGAAGAGATGATTGAGAAAGAATTCAACAATATTAAACCAGGTAAGACACACTAGAGAAGATTAAGTTTTCGAGGAATACTTTAAAAACACTTGTGCTTGAGATGACTTCCCGTGACTTTAAACAGAATAGCTTTCATTTAGCATTCCTATAATTGCATGTGGACTACAAAAACCATATTCCAGCCCTGGGATTAGAGAAAAAGAGACACATGGTCCTAAAACGTTTACCGACATTATAACTCTACAATTATCTGTGTGATTACTTAATTAATGCACATTCCCTTCACTAGACTATAAATCCCATAAAGGTCTTTTGGCTTCTATCGTCTCCTCAGCCCCTGTCTCCGGGCCTGGGTCATAGTAGATGCTCAATAAATATTAACTGTGTTGATGAATGCATGGCCAGAACTATATCTAAGGCAGGGTTTCTCAGCCTCAGTGCTCTTAACATTTTAGGCCAGATAATTCTTGGTCGTGGGGGGTCTGTCCTGGGCATTATAAGAATCTTAACAGCATCCCATACCTCTACCCTCTAGATGCCAGTAACAACTCCCAAGACATAGTAACCAAAAATGTCTCCAGACATTTCCCTGGAGGGCAAATTTGCCCCCAGTTGAGAACCACTGGTCGAATGGAATATGATTACGACTTCAGGTACATAAATAGGGAGGTGAGAATTAATTCTAGGAAACTCATTTGGGTGAAAAGGAAGGGAAAAGAACAGAGGGAGTGGAGGGGGATAATTATTGCTGCTCATCTTGTCACTACTTTGCAGTATCAGTTTTATACCATGAGATTCATCCCTCGTCCCTTTTTTCTCCTATAGGAACTACAATAGTGAGACAGGTAAAGCATTTCAAGAAACAATGTCCAAGTGAGCATTTCCCAAAGCCAGTTCTGCAGAACATTAATTCTGTGGACTGTTAATAGATGCTACTGATAAAAGGGGTCCATGGTCAAATAAATCCATAAACACCAGATTCAGGGCAATTAAACAGATTCTGTTTTATTGCAGGACTTATCAGAGTCCTTGAACTTCTAATATGCTTTGAAAGTCTCCAAAAGAAAATGTAGGATGGCTCCTTTCCCAAATTTTTGGACCATGGGTCTCATTTTTTGACCAGCCATCTTGTGGAATTAGCATGTTCTGGAACACACTCTGGCCTTAGTTTATCACTGTGGTAGCATCTTTCCACTTTCACAGCATGAGTCACCTACTGAGCACCATGATCCTAGGATGCAGGGTCACTTCTGCTATTATAAAGGTGAGAAAACCAAAACTCAGTAGTTACATTGCTTGCTCAGGGTCATACAACTAGCAAGTGGCAAATCCCACATTTGAATCCAGGTCTGGCTAAGACCACGTTCTTAGCCACTCTGTGACCTCCATGCCCCATCCTCATTCCACTCACTCACTCCTTCATTCAACTATCATTACTCTAGTAGCTCCCATGTGCCAAGCACTGTGGGAGGAGCAAACAGGTGTGCTGTGTGTGTGGAAGGAGTTTAAGATGTTCCAGAAGAGCCTCCCCCACAGCCAGGATGGCTCAGCCAGTTAAGTGTCCAACTCTTGATTTTGGCTCAGGTCATGATCTCAGGGTCGGGAGATCGAGCCCCACATCAGGCTCCATGTTCAGCAGAGAGTCTGCTTGGGATTCTCTCCCACCCTCTTCCTTTGTCCCTCCCCCCCAAAAAAGAGATGCTCCAGAAGAATAACAGCCCTGACAGCCTATCCTTGGGGCACAGAAAAGACTCATGTTTAGGAGAAGTGACGTGTGAGCTGAGATATGAAAGTTGATGCTTTTGTGGGCAGAGGAATGATATGTGCATGTTTAGATGTTACTCTGCTGCCTCCCACTCTGTGTTGACTTCCTACCTTCTTATTTTTATTTGATACTTCCTTTTGTTTCAGTCTTTTCAATAAACTGTATTGAGAGAATGGCATGTCCACATGCAAATAATAAAGTTGGTCTGAATTTATATAATAGGCAAAGTTAACTCAAAATGGATCAAAGACTAGCAAAAAAAGCTAATATTATTTAAAAAAAAACACTAGAGGAATATATAGGGTAAAGCTTCATGACATTGGATTTGGCAGTACACTCTCCGATGCTATTAAAAGTACAGGCAACAAAGAAAAAATAGATTAACTGAACTACATCCAAATTAAAAACTGCATCAGAGGACACTTTCAACACTGAAAAGGCAATGCACAGAATGAGAGAAAACATCTGCAAACAATACGTCAACCAAAAATTAAGTAAAACTTCAAATGTATATTTGTCCAATGAATACTGTGCAATTGTCATAGACACATGGTCAACACGCACATTAAAAGATGTTCAACGTCACTCGCTATTCACCCAGGAAATGCAACCCCTAACCGTTTTCCACCTGCCAAGATAGCAATAGTAGTAGTAGTGATCATCAAAGAAGATGACACAGATGTTGGGAGAAGCTGGAGGAATGAGAACCATGTGCCCTGTTGATGGAAACACAAAATAATGCCATCAGTGGAGGAACTACACGTGGGGTCCTAAAGAACAGATAATCACCATATAATCTGACAATTCCACTTCAGGGCATACGCACAAAATGAATAAAAGCAAGGGCTTGAACAGATAGTTGCATACCGTGCTCACAGCGGTATTATCTGTATCACCCAAGATGTGAAAACCACGCGGGAGGGGTTGGAGCAATAAAACATGGAATGTGTGTGCAGTGGGGACCAGCACTCACACCTAAACTGCAGGAAATTTTTGAAACATACGACATGGATGCACCTTGGACACACGCTGTATGGCGCCAGTTATCCGAGGTTCCTGAAGTAGGCATGGTCCTAGAGACGGGCTGCAGAATGGTAGCTGCCCAGGGACAGGGGAGAAAGAACTCAGAAATGATTATTTAATAGATACAGGGTTTCAGTTTGGGTTCACGAAGAGGTTCTAGAAATTCATGATGATGACAGTTGCACAATATATTTCTTCCTTTTATCTAATTAAAACATTCCTGTTTTGTTTTGCTTTGTTTTTGCCTTTTGGAAAAGTCTGGAATGAGACCTCCAAGACTGCTTCCTTTCCTGGTCACTGGTCATCAGCTTATCGCGTTAAAGGGAGACATGTGCTTGGGTCCTCCTGGTTATAATGAAAATAATAAATGCGGGCTCTCTCCCTCTCTCCTTCTCTCCTCTCTCCCTCTGGTGGCACAGCTCAGAGCTCTATACTGATGTGTGGCACCTTCTCGGCACTCCACCAAAGAATATGAACTATAGAGGGTGGAGAACTAGCAGACACCTGCTGTATTAGGAAGAAAAAAATCAGAGCTAACCAGTTTATTTTCCAGTGGAAAGGGTGTGTTTATACTTATCTAGGAAAATTTTCAGAGAGAAACAGGAAAATACCGCTTTAAAAACCCTATTGAAAGTTTGGATCCCTCAGAGGAGCCCGAATATTCCCGGCAAATATTTGACCCTATTATTTTAACCCTGATTAACCTGAAAATACTCTACTGCCATTCAGAGAAATAAGTGACAATCAGAACAGAAACTGGGGCTGAAAACAGGTTCATCCCCAGTGTAGCCTAAGGCTCTCTGCTGAAATTCCAATTATAGTCATTCTACAAAATCTGATTTCCCTAAAACAGTTTCACATCCGAATCACCTAGAGGGCATAAAACAGATTGCGGGCCCTTCCCCCGGGACATTTCTGAATCAGCGGGTCTGGGGTGGGTCCAGGCATCGGCATTTCGCCTAAGTTCCAGGGGGAAGCTGATGCAGCTGGTCTGAGGACCACACTTGGAGAACTGTGGCCCTCTGATCATCTTCCCTTCAGATAACAGGTGTGTTTCCCTTCTGCTAATTGATGCACTGCTGACAAGTTGACCATGAACACAGTAGTATTTTTCCAATTCCCTGTATTATGACTTCGGAGTCTTTTGCAACACTGCTGATGACGACCACTGATATTTTATCGCTTCTACCCTCTGCCAAACAACCATGGGTAAACAAACTCTTATAGACTCAAGAAGGGGCATATTATCATAAGCCATGTGGTGAATACGATTGTGGAGAAAACCAAACTCTCACTTTCTAACTTGTTTCACGAGGCTAAATCTTCATACATTAAGATTTCCAAAGTCAGGTGCAGCTGAAGAGTGCTGCTTAAAAATGCAAGCCGGTTTCATTATTTGCGAGCAGAATTTGGGGGCATTTAGAACCATTAGCTTCCGAAATGCCACCTTTGCTAGAGTGTGAATTGACTGGTAATATTTGCTCATTCCATGTATATTTGTAGAGAGGCATCTGTGCACACGGTACTAGGTAGGACCTGGGTGATGCTAATACCAGGACGCCCCTGAAACAGATCCTGTTCTCAGGGGGCTAAGGGTCGAGAAGAGCTTCGATGAAGGGCAGCACTGAAGAATGAATGGAGCCAAGACTGGAAAGATAGAGACCCTCATTGCCCCCCCCCCTTCACTTCTCAATGACCAGGACAAGCCATAAGGTTGGGTTTTGATAGTTACACTACCTGACACTGAAGGACTAAAGAGACCATGCTGGAAGGTCAGTTAATTCCATGTCCCCTGCTTTGTGGTCTCAAATACCTTTATGTATTTCCTCAGCCTCGCCAGACAATTGGGCTCTGGACAGCCACTGCCATAAGAAGTCAAGGGTTGAATGCTGAGGGACGAGAGGGATGCCACAATGGTTTTAAATGATCCCTACATTACAGCCCTACCATTATTCCAAAAGACAACTTAGAGCCGTTGAACCATGTGATTGCCTTTGTAACCTTGAATCTAAGAGGATAGATAACTGAACCTTGATAGGGAGAGGACAATGGAGAACCCTTATCTGCTCTTCTGGTCCTCCCTGGGGAAGGGTCCCATCATAGGTTATGTCTGGTGATTAGGATAAGAGAAGAAACCCAGTCTCTCGAGATACACCCGAGTCAGTGTCACTGAAGGAGGACAATTGGCACGTTAACTGCCAACTGTTAAACTGTTAACTGCTAACAAGTTGCACAAGTGTCCATTTCACCTTCCCTCCAGGAATAACTTTTTTTTTTTATTCTTATGTTAATCCCCATACATTACATCATTAGTTCTAGATGAAGTGTTTCATGATTCATTGTGCATAACACCCAGTGCTCCATGCAGAATGTGCCCTCCTCAATACCCACCACCAGGCTAACCCATCCTTCCACCCCCCTCCCCTCTAGAACCCTCAGTTTGTTTTTCAGAGTCCATCATCTCTCATGGTTCGTCCACCCCTCCGATTTCCCCCGCTTCATTCTTCCCTTCCTGCTACCTTCTTCTTCTTCTTCTTTTTTTTTTCTTAACATATATTGCATTATTTGTTTCAGAGGTACAGATCTGAGATTCAACAGTCTTACACAATTCACAGCGCTCACCATAGCACATACCCTCCCCAGTGTCTATCACCCAGTCACCCCATCCCTCCCACCCCACCCCCCACTCCAGCAACCCTCAGTTTGTATCCTGAGATTAAGAATTCCTCGTATCAGTGAGATCATATGATACATGTCTTTCTCTGTTTGACTTATTTCACTCAACATAATACCCTCCAGTTCCATCCACGTCGTTGCAAATGGCAAGATCTCATTCCTTTTGATGGCTGCATAATAAGGAATAACTTCTTTTTAAGGTTGAGTCATCAACAATATTTTCTAGCAACATTTTAATAATAAAATGTAAAGTTCAACCATTTTGGTAAAACTTTTTTTATATATATAAGTTACCACCAACATATGCAGCAGCTCCTCAATATGAAAATGGGTTAGGTTGATTTGTTATTTGTTTATTACACAAATAATACCAATCAGCATTGCAAATGTTTGCAGAATACTGAAGCATATAAATTAAAATATGAAATTTCCCTTTATTCTCTCCAGTTTTTCTCCCCGTTCCTAAAGTTACCTCTATTTTAACAGTTCTCTTTTTGTGTGTGTATTCCTATTTATGTGTGTATATATTTGGGTTGGAATTTTAAAAACATAAATGTTACAGTATTATACTTACTATTTTACAACCTTTCAAATTTAACAATAGGTCTTAAATCTTTCCACGTAAGTATACATAGGTCTACTTGTTCTCATTTTATTTGATACGAATGTACTAGGTCTAATCAATCTCATGAAAATGGACTTTAAGTGATTTCATTTTTGCTATTTCAACAGTGGTAGAGTTAATGTCTTTATGCATGATCCTTTTGCATATAGGAGTGCTTCTTTAAAAGACATTCCTCAAGGTAGAATTAGTGGATATCTACATTATTTCCAACATGTAGATATTATGAACAGCATGGTAAGGAACTATCTTGGTTCAAAAGAATATCAGATAAGCAGTTAAGAGATTCTGTGTTCTAGTTTCTAGCTATGTCAACTCTTATGAATCTCACTTCCCTTGTCAGAACCCTAGATTCCTAATCTTTAAGTTAAAAATACATACATGAAGGTCAAATGAATTTTTTAAAAAACTTAAAGTACATTATTGCTGAAGTCTCTCCTAACTCTAAAGTTGTATTCCATAAATCAAGAGATAAAACATTTTTCTGGGGGAAAAGCCATAAAATTGTAAAAGGCAATCGCCTAAGTATAGATTTATAGGATGACCAATAGTTAAGTTCAAATCACTTCAATGAATATTTCACCAAGTATAAGTTACTATCTTTTACACTGTATGCCAGACAAAATAAGATACTGCTTCTATCCTTAAAGATCTTATAATCTAGGAAGTGGAAAACACAAATTCATAACAGACAATAAGGCAGAATACAGGGGATATAAAAAAAAATTACAAACAAAAGCTTCTGTTGAACGTGTAGAATTCTAAACCTGGACATAGCGAATATTCTCAATGAGATCTTTACCTGAGTAATGAGTCTCCAAAAAAAAAAAAAAAAAAACAAATAAATAAAATCATTCTCAGGGCTCTCTCAGGTTTGCTAATGGGGCTACTTTCCGTTTCCAGGTGCTGTGGAGAGGGTAAAGAAGATTCGAGACTATGCTTTTGTGCACTTCAGTAATCGAGAAGATGCAGTGGAGGCTATGAAAGCTTTAAATGGGAAGGTAAGGTAGGACAATACACACACACACACACACACACACACACAGGTTTCACCGAAGTGTGGTGTGGAAATTTTATTCAGAAGAATGATCCCGCGAGTCTGTGTCACTCAGGCTTTCTCCACCTCTGACAAGACTGCCTGGGTCCATGAAGATGAACAGAAGAGAAGTGAAAGAAACACAGTGGAGATGCGCTCACGTATCTGGCTCTCTCTCTAATTTTGGGTGATTTGAACAAGTCACCGACCCTCAATTTCCTTACAAAGTGGGGGATTGGAGTACATTATTTCAAGGTGTTTTTCTCAGGCCCTGTTTTCTCTCATTACTTCAAGAGATTATCACCTCGCTAATGCAGTATGTTGGAGACTGAGGACCAGAAAACCGGTCAATTCTGTTGTCATTCTGCCCTCAGAGTTTGCACTCCCTACTCTGGAAGGCTCTGGATCTCTTCCCCTTGCCAAGAGTGGGGCCTGGGGAAAAATGAGCTTCTAAAATCCTTTCTCCTGACTTGTACATAGAGACCAAGATCATATTTACTTATCAATGCAATAAACATTAAAACCCATCTATAGACCACTTACCTTGCTAAACAATGTCTGGGACACAAAAAAACAAAGAAACTTGCCAACAAGCTAGAAGTCTATGGAGGAATAAGACGAGTACACAAACATCTTTCATAGTTTAGCCAAATAAGTTCAGTTTCATTAAATTTATGGATAGATAGAGATCTATCTATCTCTCTATCTATATAAATAGAGAGAGAGCGAGGTGAGAAAGTCCAAAGGAAGGAGGAGCAAATCAGAATCAGAAAATCGTCATGGAGACGAGAAGATGGTATCCATGAGAAGCCATAAAAATTGGGCAGAATTCTCAAAGGAAAAAACCACAGAAACAGAGAGACAGTCTGAGGCATGGAATTTGGAAAGAGCAGGAAGTGACTGAGGAACAGTGAAAGTAGACCAATTCGGTTAGAACATCACGCATGTAGGGCTGTGTCTCCCATCAGGCTTTGCACAGTTAGTGCTAACAGCAGACAGATGGCGAAGGGACTAAGTACAGAAACGTGAGTGTAGGGAAGGGGAATCAAGTGGAGGAACCAAGGCTCGCAGTGCTACCAGAGTCAAGGCGACGGGGGGGCCAGAGAAGTAACCAGAAACCTAACGGAGAAAGGACTGTGTAGAGCAGGTCTCCTTGGGAGAAGTAGGGATCTTTGGCCAAAGGACACAGCCAGGGGCCAAGGGAGCATCTCCCCGAGCAGGTCCTTCAGTCACAGGTGGCTGGGCTTAGGGGCCAATCCGGGGCCCACACACACGTTTGGGCTTTGGAGGAAAAAACATACTGACTCCAAAACACAAAAAGAAAACTGTAAAGCAAAAATTGAATGCAAACTTAAATACATGTCCATCAAGCAAAACATGATTTCATCTTCATTTGTGATTACATTTAGTATGATAAAACTGTTATTACCTTGGGAACAATTTGTAGGTTAGTTTCTCAATCTGAAAACATTCCTGAGGATACATGATGATTGCAGAGAAGGGACAGTCAGTCATAAATTAAGTGCTAAATAATTACATTGAAATAATCACAATGGAAAAATATTCAAATTGTTCCCAATTTTAACAGCTAGAAATTTTATAGCAATGTGATATAAGGTTAAATATATATTCAATATATTAAAATATATACCAAATATTATATTTAACTATAATGTTGTATGGGAAAATCAAAAGTAAGTTTGCCTAGAACTATGCAAGCTTTGAGTATGCATATGCATATTAAAAGTTAACTTATTAGACAAGGTGAGACTGAAGCTTTTTGTGTAATGGAGTAATGATCACATACAATTTAGAGAAATGAATGTACTAAGAGTTGCAATTTTATGGAGTAGGAAGAGACATGTCATTGGTACTATTTCAAAAGCTACTACAGTCACCCAAACAGGAAGAAATAGGGCTTGAGAAAGGGCAGGAATAGAAAGTAGGATAAAGCTCCACACGGGGCTATGGGGGATGAATTCAAAACACCCAGGAAATGATTGGATGTTGGAGTAAGCAAGAGTCATTAGTTTTCAATATGGGAGACTGGAGACAGTCAGAGAAGCCAGGAAAGGAAACCTATTTAGAGGGAAAGGTGATGACCTGAGCTTTACATTTGATTGTTCATCTATTCTAGAAATACTTGTGAATATCTGTGATGTGCAAGGAATTTTGCTGGGCTTGGGAATATACCGATTAATAAGATATCATCCTAGCTCTTGAAACATCTAGACCAAATAACTAAAATACAATACTGAGTTTAAACCACTATTACAGGGGCAGTTGAATGCAGCACAAAATCTATTACAATGTGAAATCTGACTTTGCAGTAAAGAATCATTCCATTAGAAATGTCTCCTGATATGGAAGGGCCTAGAAGCAGAGACCTATTTGGGTCTCTCACTTTCCTCAAGACAGGACTGAAGATAAAGAATCTTATATGTAAGACCACCCCATTCCTTTGGATACTCAGGTCTGTTTCTTCTAATTACATCAACACCAGTGTGAGATAGTTGAATATGACCAGGATTCTCTCTCCCGGTGTATTCCAGCTAACATGTTGGATACAGGCTCCCGCTCTTAAAAAGTAGGGCAGATATATGAAACTAGGAACAAGTGACAACCAGGAAGTACAACTTTGTCCAGCAGACTTCAGTGATCTCAGAACCCCTGAAGCACTCACAAAATGGCAAGCTGCCGTGAAAGGGAATTCTTGAGGGAATGCTTCATATTACTTCTTTTCTTTATAAAAATAGAAGCTTATAATAGTCTTATGCAGAAGAAGCTACAAACGCTTCCTCACAACACCTTGTCCCATTGATAAGAAATACCTCAATCCATCAAGCGTTCGTTGAGAGCCATCTTTGTCTCGTGCGTGTGCAAGCAATACGGAAAAGTGAGTCACGCGTGTAGCTCTACACATAGCCTTTTTCTTCAACATCTGGATCTGTTTGCAAACTGTCCAAAACTTGCATCAGAAAAAAGCCTCTCCAATAATTCTTGAGGACAAATTTTAAGAAGTGCATGACTTGAGAAATCTCAGTACTGCCCCTGCTATCCCTGCCAGTTCCCAGCTCTTTAGCAGGTCAAAAAGCTGCTTCACAGGTACCTCTGGGGAACAACACTGTAGCCTCTACAACACAGTAGCCTCCTTGATTCTCTTCCTTAAATAGGGCCCCACTTCTAAGCCTCTCTTCTCCTTCAATGAAAACTTACCCATAGTGTGGCTGCTCGAAGGAGTAAACCATTTAGCTGGCTGGGGGCCAGAAAGACCTGATGAGGCTACCCATGCCACAGTGTCAACAATCGATAAGATTTCCTGATTGGTGTCCTTCCACCTTCACTTTGCTGCGCTAAGATGTAGACATTATATTCCACCCATTAGTAACCTAAAAGGTCTTAGAATTATATAATATGTAACTTAAAACATATATCGCATAAAACTATCACATAATTCTCTGTCACAGTGACTGTACCACATAATTTATAACCAGTATGTCAGTGGTCAGTGGCCAGTTTGTTCCTGTCAAACCTGTTGCATATTATATGCAAAAACCACTCAGGAAAACTCAACTGACACACAAACATGAACTCATGAAGAGACAAGATACATGTAAGTGAGACAGTCTGTGAGCAAAACAGCAAATCGACTAACACTCAAGAGCCCAGGGCTCAACCACACTTGGTTGTCTTCATATCTTCTTGTGTTGCTTCTTTTTTGCTCTCTGTGACAGGTGCTGGATGGTTCCCCCATTGAAGTGACCCTAGCCAAACCAGTGGACAAAGACAGTTATGTTAGGTACACCCGAGGCACGGGTGGAAGGGGCACCATGCTGCAAGGAGAGTACACCTACTCTTTGGGCCATGTTTATGATCCCACCACAACCTACCTTGGAGCTCCTGTCTTCTATGCTCCTCAAGCCTATACAGCAATCCCCAGCCTTCATTTCCCAGCCACCAAAGGACATCTTGGCAACAGGGCCATTATCCGAGCCCCTTCTGTTAGAGGTAACGCTCATCAGCTCTTGCTCTAGAATAACTCTACAATTTCAAATGATTTGTATTGCAATAGCCTTAGACAAATGGGATGGACCCACTGGGAGAAAAGGACTGGAAAAATCGTTTATGAAAAATCAAGTATTGTTATATCAGTAGTTGTCCTTCCATAAAAATTTTTTTTCACATTACAACTGGTTATTGAAAAAACTTGGTCAGAATATAGCACAAATGAGTCTAATGCATACATTTGATCTTTGCCTGGGCCCATAAAACTTGTGCAGACTAAGTAGTTAGCTTCTCCCTTACCATTGGACCACCATATTGCAGTCATATGTGACTCATTAGAAAACCTAAGTGAGGGGTGCCTGGGTGGCTCAGTTGTTAAGCGTCTGCCTTCAGCTCAGGTCATGATCCCAGGGTCCTGGGATCAAGCCCCACATTGGGCTCCCTGCTCAGCTGGAAGCCTGCTTCTCCCTCTCCCACTTCCCCTGCTTGTGTTCCCTCTCTTGCTGTGTTTCTCTCTGTCAAATAAATAAAATCTTAAAAAAAAAAAAAAGAATGAAAGAAAACCCAAGTGAAAGCAGGATGGTCCAATGGAAACCAGTTATCTCAAATGGCAAAAAACAAGTCAAGGCACATATGTATTTAATGGTAACTCAGTGGCATCATATTCATACATAAATCACAAATTATCATACATATTCTAACAGATATATGAGATACTTTCATCTGACCTCCCCCTAGAAATATGTGCTGTGTCTTCTAAGAAGCCCCACTATTGAGGAAATCAACTTATTTCTCCAGGATATGGAGAACTAAATAGTAAAGTCCAAATAGAAGAAAGACTGACTACCATACAATAAATCTTTCCTATGTAATCCTACAAGAATTCCAAATGTTCACACAGTTCTCTGGGCTCAGTTCAAGCAACACAGACAATAAGGAAAGCGTTTTTTAACTTCTATTAAACTAGTTTGTCTCTGCCTAATGGAATCCTTCAAAATAATACTGCTAGGATAGAATTAATGCCAAAAGAATCCCAGTTCTATTTTCCAAATATGACACCATTCTGGGCAATTTGGCAACCAACTGTATTTAACTCTGTCCCTGGGTTTTACTTAGAAGCAAAGGGACATGTCCAGGTTACTGTGAAAACAATTATCTTACTGCGTTTTACTATTTTTCAGGAAAACTGAATTGACCATCCTAGAAGTTCTAGTCTTCAACAGCCTTAAAATTTCCATAATCGTAATAAAATCACTCTACCCAAAATTATAATGCAAAAGAAATCATCAGGTTTTCCTCCAGGATAATCTATGGCAAATTATGTCATTAAAGTATTGTGCATTTATAATCTGAAATCATATTATTAAATAATTTATATATTAAATATAAATTGTCAACCAGTTGTAATGTAGGAAAAAAAAACAAGCTCCACTCCAAGGGAAAAAATACCTTATAGCAAGAAAGGAATCAATGAATGATATTCATGGATGAAGGGTAATCAACTTAATTTTTTTATCACTTTACATCACCAATAGGAAATCAAAGTATCAACATGGCAAAACAAAAAATCAATAGGAATCTACTAATGAAACTCAATGGAAATTTAAGCCTAACATTGTCTGATTATAAAACAGAAAATAGTGAACCTATAAATATGTTTTCTAAATGTTCAAACATTTCCCAACTGATCCTTGGGGATGGGATTATTGGGGAAGCTAAAATCCATTTCTGATTTACTGATCAATGATAAGAATGCAAGACTTATTTTAATACATGTGGTCATACCATGCTGGGATGTTTAAATACCTTCCCAACGTTTATTAGTCTATAGAGAAATGTCAACAAAAGGTCAACTGAAGATAGAAATTGCAAATTTTTTCTCTGTGTCGAAGTTTTAAAGTTGCTCATGTACTTATCAATAGCTTTGAGAGTATGGCTTTCTTTCACAGATAGTAAAAAAAAAAAAAAAAAGGACAAAAAAATAAACAAGACACTTACGGTAAACCCTATGTTATATTGAGTTTCATTACATTAGAATCCTAGAGTTTTCTATGCATCTTGAGGGCAATGATCAATGTGACTTGGGCTAACTTTTCCATTACAGTAATATTCAGGGTGATCTTCTGGTGGTTTGATTCAGTTTAATGCCTTCTTACGTTCCTAGAAATTTACATGAATGTACCTGTAGGGGCCGCGGGAGTGAGAGGACTGGCCGGCCGTGGCTATTTGGCCTATACAGGCCTGGGTCGTGGATACCAGGTCAAGGGAGACAAGAGAGAAGACAAACTCTATGACCTTTTACCTGGGATGGAGCTCACCCCAATGAATCCTGTCACTTTAAAACCCCAAGGAATTAAACTTGCTCCCCAGGTAGGTAATGTTATTCCAGAGATAGTTTCCTTAAGTTAGGCCAAAGACCATCAACATTTGCCTTTCATCAAATGACCTGACTTGATCCCTACTTGGGCTATTGTTTTGTTTTGTTAAATAGGTAAAGTGGCCAATCAACATAAGGTACTATGAGAGAATGCTAACTGCTGAGGGCCACTGTTCCATCACAGGCTTTCTTATATTTCCTAAATAATCTGAACTGGAATGCAAAGATCCTGAAAGCCATTAAGAATTATCAACCGATACCTTACATGAAAATAAAATGAAGCAAAGACTCAAAGTAAACGCCTACTGTGTAGGAGCTGGCTAATGGAGAGTATTCAAGACAGGGAATGAATAGGCCACTTAGGACATCTTTTATTGGAAACACTGGGTGTGAGAGAAAACACCATACCATCCATGGTGATATCATGGACTTGTATTAATGATAAGATGCCATCTATCATATCCAATTAGGTCTCCCAGGATGATTATGCTTGGGGAAGGGCATGATGGTGAAATTTTAATGCTTTCATTCCACAGCTCCAAGTTTCCATATTTCTGCATGAGGCTGTGGTTTTTATTATCGGAAAATCAGAAGTTATAAAAGCTGTTCCAGGATGGCAAGTGAATAACAGGGGTAAAAATAAAACAAAACAGGATCTATGTGAACCCTGAGCCTATTCCCTGTGGGTGTGCAGTGCATGCCAGGCTTTCTGTAGAGAAACTGGCTGAAGAAGCCATACCTAGTTGTTCAGAGATATAGTTTGTGGACCCTCAAGGAAACATCCCTACTCCAGGTCCAAAGGTATAAGCCCCAAATGTATGGAAGTAGCCTTATGATTTCTAAAAGCTCATCGTGAGTATTATTTTTGTAGGATCAATGGCTGTCTTATACATACCAATTAGCTCATCTCAGGTTTCTGCTAACCCTACCCAGGCAATTAAAAATAAGGATGCCTAGCAGAGTGGCACACAGCATTCATTTGTTTGTTCAAAAGCCATTTATTGGGCATCCACCATACACCAAGTACTGTGTCAGGTGCTGGGCATGGAAAAGGGAATATAATGCAGTCCTTGCCATCAAAAATCATATGGCAATCCAGTGAGAGGATACGGACACATCAACAGGCCATTATTGCAAATTCTACTGAGTGTCATCGTAAAGCTTTGCTCAGAAAACACAAAAGCTTGTCATCCAGTCGATCTTGGGTTAAAATAAGGAACCTCATTAAGGACCTGGAATACTTAGAAATCTTTAAAGAAAATAAAAAATAATAATCATTATAAATTCCATATAATAGTTCTAAGAGCTGCCACAGTGTGATGAATAATCTCTGCTTCTTAACATTAAACCCAGGTTAGAAATTGGTCATGGTTTATAGAGATATGTAAGGAACTACCTCTCCAAACTAATGAAAGTTCTTTATTTAGTCTCTGAATCTCTACAAGGTCGGCTTAGAAATTGAAGGCTATGCCAACCCAAACCAATGTAGATGGAGCCTTAACAGCCCCATGGTGGGGTCGTGGGCATCCGACAAGAGCAGGGAAACACCACTCTGCTGCCCAGCAGAGTCTGGAGTTAGAGTCTGTACTCTTGGAGCTTGTGTTTGCACAACGAGAATGTCTGCCAGCTATAGGAGTCTACTGGTGCCCAGGAACCTTTGGGAATGCTTTGTAGATGACAAGAGATGCTACACAGCCAAGAGCAGTAATAAGAAAAGTCAGTAGAGGAAATAGGAGCAATCCACAGATTTAATAAACCAGAAAAGGCCCTGCAATTGCAGCTGGATTCGTGTCAGAACCAATGAGATAAGAAGCTCCATGGAGTCAGCCCAGGGCACTGTTCTGTCCCCAAGTCTTGTTCTTTTCAGACTTAGACCCTGTTTTGCACAGTTTCCTGAATCTGCTGACTCATGGGAGCATTGGGGCAGGTGGGCCACTGAAAATGGCTTTGGGATGAAAAAAAAAATTGGGTGCCTTTAGACAAGATTCAGTTTGGAGTAGCGATAAAGGCAGAAAAAAGCATGCAGGGAGATTCTGAAACTCAGATCTTTGTAAAAACAGCCAGAAGTGGTATTTTGCCAAACAAAGACACTACAGCTGTCAACATCCATCTATTAATGCTCATCAGTGACTAGTAACCATTAAACTGTTTAACTCGATTTTTTATGAAAATGTGAAGTTAAAACCCTATGACAAATGACATGAAGTTAAGAATATATTCTTAGGTTATTTTCTCTAAACCATTATAAACAGAAGGATTGACGGTAGTCATGAGGGAGTCCAGCCACACAGTGCTGAAATGTCCATTTTTTTAATGGAATAAATATATCAAACAAATCATAAAATTAAACTATTGGTAAAAAAGTTACAGCTAATGGACTGAACTAAAAACATATTAGAATAAATGGTGTGAAAATGATTTTTATGAATTAGTCGATATAACATTTTAAATGGAGTTCAAGTTGAGTTCATCTTAAATTTTATGAGTCATTAAACCATATGGCATTTTATATTTTCTTACATTAGCTTAAGCACTGAAGATTAGAGCTTTAAATCCTGAAAGCTGGAGAAATAATGCAAATGTGACATTTGAAACAGAAATCACTTTTTTTTTTTTTTTAACTCCTGTAGATACTAGAAGAAATTTGTCAGAAAAACAACTGGGGACAACCAGTGTATCAGCTGCACTCAGCCATTGGACAAGATCAAAGACAACTATTCTTATACAAAATAACCATTCCTGCCCTGGCCAGCCAGAATCCTGCAATGTGGGTAACATCTCCAAATTCCTAATCTTTTAAGCTTTTTAGAATAAGAGTCTCTTGTAAATCAAGTCTCTTGTAAAATCCATATTTTATCACTATCCAAATAAGAGAAACACTTACATCTACTACTTGCTCATTTTTCATTAAATGCAAACGTTGAGATGTGTAGTTGGGATGTACATGCCAAGTGGGAGACTGGCATCTCAGGGGCCCTGAATTTCACACAGACAATGAAGATGGTGTAGTATAACCAACCAATAAAAAACTACAGACATAAAATGGAACAGGAATCAGATCTATAGCCCATTATTTTATCTATGTAGTATTTAGTTTGAACCATATGAAATTGCCATTTTGTACGTGACAACACCATGCCCAGTTACTTATATTTTGGATCAAAGATCCTCTCTGTTGGTGGGTATCACCACCTCAAGCCTGCATTTCTACATATTTTAGGAACCATCCTGTCTCACCTGTACCTTAGAAAAGCTGTGTGATGAGTTACAGGTGTGCTCCAGGCATGTCCTATCAACCACCGCTGTCCTGGGCCAGGTCACAAACATCCCTACGTGCATATACCTGTAGAAGTCTTCAATGCAAAGAGAACGAAGACCACACACATAAAATTCCATCATCTGCTCATCTTAGCCCATGAACAGCGACTTGGGTTTTCTCCCATCTCGGCTCCTCAAATGTAATGACTGAATATGCCTTGCAGTCACCCCTTCACGCCTCCGAAGCTAAGTGCCTACGTGGATGAAGCAAAGACCTACGCGGCCGAGTACACCCTGCAGACGCTGGGCATTCCCACCGACGGGGCCGATGCTCCCACCACGGCAACTGCATCCACTGCCTTCCCAGGTAGGGAAAATGGCACCAGAAATGGCACCTGCCCCGGGTGTTTGAGAAACACCCCCTTGGTACCATGAACTCTGTGAGTGTTCTTAAACTCCACCCACAATAAATCCAATTTACACCATCTGTGACCAAAAACACTGGGCAGATGCGTGAACCATCAACGTTCCCTGAGGAGCGGAAGTGGGGTCTAGTCTCAGCTTGGCTTCAGCAGCTGCATGACCTTGAAAGAGCCAGTCTCTGCGTCAGGTTGGGTGGGGTTTTTACTTTTTAGGTAAGAAAGTTTGGAACTACCTATTAATAGTTGTTTATCTGCATGCCAGGTGTTCCCCTAAATGCTCAGTGTGCTTTATATTATGCCAGCAACGTTCATGATGCCGCAAGAGGTAAGTTGTAGCATAAGGCTCCAGTTGAAGGAACCAAGGACAGGAATGATTAAGGAATTTGGCCAAGTTCAATGGCTTTTAAGGAATCCCTGGACTCCCTGCACAACCCCAATCTTCGACTCAACTTGACTTTTATTGCTTTGCTTTCTGAAAGAAATGTGTAGGTCACATTTTTCTTAAGTTGCTTTAAATCAAACACTCTGTGTGTGAGAGAGACAGAGAGAGAGAGGGGGAACCGTTCAATATTTAAGATAATCAGCTCTCATTTATGTGTTCTATAATTTGGGACTGGAGCATACATGGTTTGCTCAGAATAAAGCCTATCTGCAGATCGCCTTCACAGTCCCATTTAAAAGACTTCTCCCCATTTGTGATGTACCTACAAAAAAAGCTAATAATTTAAAAAAATGAACCCTCTAGAGATTAAAAGTGACCAGGCAAGAAATTTGTTTTGGAAATCTTTCCTTAACAGTTATTCTGAATAACCCTATTCTTTTTTAGCAAGCAAAGTTCATTTCTTTTGAAGACATTGGTCACTCCAAAGTGTCATTGTGTCGACGTACCTCCCTTAAGACCAGTCCAGAGATCTGACTGGACCCAGACACAAGGTGTTTCTATCAATCCATTCAGTCATGCACTGGTCACGTTCAGGCGTGAGAACTGCTGTATTCCTCCCATCCATAACACCTGGGCTCATTCTCGTTTTCTCTTGTTTCCCAAAAATGGCAAATATGTTTTCCATCCTGGCAGCTAACCACGCTTCACACACGAACACGACCTCAATTCCAGCTTTGTTCTGTAGAACTTGGGGAGGATGGGTCGTGCGCCCCTGCGAGGTTACCACGGCCCCAGCTGCCGCCACCAGAGGGCAGCTCCCCTGGGCTGCGCTGGGGCCACCAACCCTGGGCTCGCTTTCCACAGAATGGGGTGTTGAAATGTCTGTCTACTGGGGACCTGTGCCTGGGTTTCTCAGTTCTTGGAGAAAGGTGAGCCCCTGTCTCACTGAAAGCTGCACCCCAAAGACAGCTAACTAATGTACTATAAAAATAAATGAGCCCCTGTCAGAATGTTACAGTTTGCTTGCACATTGGAAAGGATTCGCTTTCACCTCAGAATGTTTGACATTTTCCTCCCTTCTGTTTGCTCCTGCAAGAAGTAAAAAATATTTAGGGCATGGGAGTTGTCTTGGGAATGCCTAAGAGTTTGAGAGCCTCTCTTATAACTTTGCTGTGGAGTCAAGCAAAGGATAATAGGCTCCAAGGGAAGAATCTGTTTAAAATCCAAATACTTTTGCACTTAAGAAAGTACCTCTGAAACAAATAATACACTGTTAAAAAAAGAGAGAGAGAGAGAAGAAGAAGATAGCAGGAGGGGAAGAATGAAGGGGGGAATATCGGAGGGGGAGACAAACCATGAGGGACCATGGACTCTCAGAAACAAACTGAGGGTTCTAGAGGGGAGGGGGTAGGGGAATGGGTTAGCCTGGTGATAGGTATTAAAGAGGGCACGTTCTGCATGGAGCACTGGGTGTTATACGCAAACAATGAATCATGGAACACTACATCAAAAACTAATGATGTAGTGTATGGTGATTAACATAATAAAATTTAAAAAAAATAGCCAAATTGAAAAAGAAAATTCAAAATCCCCAAGGATAAAATCTATATGACACATGCACATATGCACACACTCTCACACATGTGTATTTCTTACTCACTTATTTAGAAATACTATTTCCAAAATCATAATTGGTAACACATTTCTCACATCCTTGGAAAACATACCAGACTTCAGTAGTGCATTAGTCAGCATTACTGGCCAAAGTGCCCAAGCCAAGGAGTGGATTTAATTTTTAAAAAAATAGTCCAGCCAGCTTCCTGCGTCCGCTTCCTGAGAAGCCACCAGAAAGAAATCAGTGTGTCTGGGTTTGGGATGACTGCCACAGCACATAAACCAAATGGACTGTTTTGTTGTTGTTGTTTTTTAAATCAGGTCCCTCTTTGTTGCTTAAGTAAAATTTTCCCCTTTTTCTTGTCATCTTCACACTTTTTTGGATCATCTCAGAAATAGCTTAATTTTGATCTAAAAGATTAACAGGGAAACATTGCTTTTGTACGATAGCGGTTATGCCCTTTTCTCTAAAAGTGAATGTCAATCAGCCAGACATGATACTAATGTGACCGCACATGATGGTCTCCTTACCATGCAAAGCCCTGGGCTGTCTGAAGGTGAGGACGAGCATCATCCGAATACACCGGACAGCTTGGTGGTGAAGCAAGAGGTCTTTGCCCTTCACGGTTAGGTCTAAATGTAAACAGGCCAGGTATTTGCTTTTATGGCACTATGTAGAAATGTAATAAAACTTTCCAAATTTTTCCTACTGGTCTACCCACTCCCTATATGTCTTCGGTAAAAGTAATGGTTTTTAACATTTCATTTAGGTGGGGGGCATGGGTACAGAAGCAGACCTGCAGAGCCCCACCCCTCAGCCCTGCCAACCCATCAGTCACCTCCCCTCCCTTATAAGCTCTGAGAGCCTCTGAAAAAGTTCTAAATCTCAAACTTTAATTACCTCGGCATCCTGTTAAGTTTCCATTTCTTGGACTCTCTCCCCAGTGTTTCCAGTTTTCTACGCATGAAGTTGTTCTGGCACATGCGGCTGACCTCACTTTGAGGCACGCTGTGCCCTAATCAATGAGTCTAGATATTAGGTCCCCTGAGTTCTTTTTTTTTTAATGTGCATATTAACTTTTGGCTTTAAGCGAGGTTAACTTTTCATCTTCCTAAGAGAAGACAATAAAGCAAGAGGGAGCAAATGTGAATGGCTTTTGATGAAGTTTTCTCTGCCTCTCCTCCAGGATATGCTGTCCCCAGTGCAACGGCACCCATGTCCACAGCCCAGCTCAAACAAGCAGTGACCCTCGGACAGGATTTAGCAGCATATACAACATATGAGGTCTACCCCACTTTTGCAGTGACTGCCCGAGGAGATGGATATGGAGCCTTCTGAAGATATCTTTCTTTTAAGTTAAGACACATGAAACTCTCTCTAGAAGGGATAAACCTCTCATTCAGTTTCCTTACGATCACAAGTCCTACTTTTCCTAAAGAGATGCCTTTCTTGAGACTGCACAGCTTATATTAATGGTAGAATCAGGATACAAGGATGAATTCCCAGTGAAATCAAATGTCAAGAAGCCTTTTGTCTGCCAGAAAACTTAAGAGCCATTGCCCCCAAAAGCTGGTTCTCCCAGGTTCCTGAATGACTTGGGCATGCATTACGCACCCTGATGATGTGGAGAGAGATCTCTTAACCAGCAAGTGTTCAGGGGCTGAGCAGACCTGGCCAATTAGGGGCAACAAAGGGAGGCAAGTAAACTCCAGTCTTAACCGCAGCTCACAGCTGCTTTTGTGATACACAACATTGCAAACAGGCAGTGGGAGGGTGCGGGGATGCTTTTATAGAAATGTTTTCCCTGTTGCCCACCACATGGAGTATGTTCTGAGGCCTGAGCCTGTGAAAGACAGCCCAAGGTTTGATGGGGCCAACATCGCTTCTGTCTGAAAATTCTACCCAATCAATCTGTCCTAGGTCACCATTTCCCTGCCCCCTATAGCCCTCGGGGACCGCCTGGAAATCAATGGGATGTGTTGCGGATAAGGATAAAATGAATCCAGGCCCACTGTTTATTAAACTCATCAGCCTGCACCTCTTCTTCCCTGGAGCCCCCATCCTTCCCAAGGGTCCCCCAACACAATAATCACCCCAACTTAAAATGGCTTCTTCTCATTTTAAACGTTTTGACTTGTCCACCTGGATTTATTTTCGTATCAGTCTCATTTTCCTCATGTCAAATACCATAAAAAAGTACATCCAATCTATAGAATATCACATAGGATGCTTTCTCCTATTCAGCAAACGGGCTGAAAAGTCATTTCAAACAGAGAAGTGAAGGTCTACTCTCGTTTCTTGGGTGTTTTTACAGCACCCAGACCCCATCCGGCATTCAGAGACAGTTCTAGTAATGTGGGGTCGGCCTTGGACTGTCTAACCCACTTATAGTCAAGCTGCCAAGAAATCTTCTACCTTGCCTTCCTTCTACTTTCAACAAATATCAGACAGTTTTACCGTATCAAGCCCTTTGGTCTTGAAGTGGTCACAGAAAACCTTACACCCCCCAACTGCTGATTAGAAGCGGATTCTTAGACACCCAGCAAGGGTTGTTAGTGACCAAAGTTCCCTAGGGCTTTAGGCCTCTCTCCAGGAACATCTCATGAGGATGTAGGAGCTACAAAACCTGGGATGGAGGAAGCAGAAGGCACTACTTTCTTGCCATACTTGTAAATGACAGCTTTTTGTTCAAAACAGAAATATTCGAGGTCTGAACTTCAAATACCAATCACCACTGCTTCTGTCTCATTAGTGGTTTAAGACATACAGCACCAGAATTTCCAGCTAAAAAAAATCCCTGGCACAATTCTACAGGACTCAAAGGAAAACATAAATACAAAGACAGAAAAATTTGTCAACTCTTGATTGGAATCCTGTGATCCAACATCAGCCCAGATTCCAGTCAAAATCAGCTAAATTCCAGTAACAATTAAAAGTCCTTATAACCTTTCAGTTCTGTTAACTCCAATCAGACATCAAAGGCCTCAAGGCTACAGGTCACACTCTGAAAGTCTGGGTGCTTTTGGCTTTACGTGTTGTTCCTCATATGCCCTAGGCTAGTGGTTCCCAAACTTGCTGCACTTTAGGAATACCTGAAGTGCTTTTCAGACTGCCAATGCCAAGATGGTGCCGGATACCCATTTACATTAGAATATCATGGGGAGAAGCCTGGCCTCAGCATTTAAAGATCTTAGGTGATTTCAGTGTGCAGCTAACTTTGGGAATGGCTATAGTCTTTCTATTTCAACCCTACCCCCTAATGTTTTCCTTATTTATTTCACTTTCATTAAGTAGAAAAATGCAAGAAAAAATTTGTCTAAGTTAAAACAGATAGCCAAATAATATTTTTATAAATATTCAGCTCATAAAAAGTAGAAATTTAAATATAATTCATATTGGCTTCAAACTAACTCTTGGACCAAACTAATTTTAAAAATGAGAAAGTGAAAAATGCCTCCATCAGCAATTCTTAGGTCCAAATCGACATTCCCCTACAGACCTGTTTTTATACTCAAAAAGAGTAATGACATTGGGGCAGGCAAGTTCCTACTTAGTCCAAAAAAGCATTCCAAATTCCAAGAGCAAAAGTTTTCATGTTCTTTAAAATCTTTGAAAATAGAAAACAGTGCTCTGGATGTCTAGCCAATGCCAAATAGAAGGTCTGATCCAGAAGAGTTTTAAATGTAATCAGAATGAACAGTTAATATAGGAATCTGTTATGAGAAGAATCTTTATTCCAGATTAAATCATTATGATTTTTTTAAAGGCTAAGAACAGAAACCTAAATATACAAAAACATCACAGTATCAGGAAAATTGCCCCTGGACCACCATCTCATTACTTGCCTAAGGAAACACAAGCATTTGTACATTTACTTCCTAAGGACTGATTTTATTCAAGTGAGTAGATGTGGTTTGACTTATTACTGAAGTTTTACTTCACTCTAGTAAAACCTAGAGAATACTTTGAATTCCATTAGAACATATTCATAGAAAGTATCAATGTGTCTACTGTGCCATCTGTATTTACTTTGCCCAAATTAAGTACTGTAGGGCAACTACACAGCCCTATAAACTCATGATACAGCTATAATGAGTTTGAAACTTTAAAAACTGGGATTTTAAAAAAGTATGTGTAGAACCAAAGGTTTATTTTGCATGATGTTTATATTTTTAGACTTCGGAAATTAGCACCTATTTAATACCTATTATATCTTGTGCATCAGTATCTATTTTTTTGTTATTTCTTACTTCATTGTTTCCTAGAAAAAAACTCTTTATATAAAGAGGAAATTAAGATGAGTCAACCAACCAAAATAAATAAATAAAATGAGTCAACCAACCAAAAATAAAAAAAATAAAATGAGCCAACCAACCAAGTGATAACAGAATACCCAAACAAATAATTTAGAAGCATCTAGTAAGTAAGAACTGAGTTTCTAAATTTTGGTAATTAATAGCTTAGTGAAAATTAAAATCAACCACTGTTACTTAGGAGGAAATGGAGCAGCAGTGAGATTGGACATCTATTTTCTTACTTGTAAAAATGCTGCCTATTCTCACCCCATTACTGTAGCTAGAAGACCATCTTTAACTGCAACAAGATAACCATTCTCCTACATAGCTAGGTTTCTTCTCCTACTCCTGCCCAATCCTGGTATCAGGCCAAACCACACGGTGTTTGGATAAAAAAAACCCAAAATGCTGCTAGAAAGCTACCTCGTGTTAAGAAAATACTGACTTCAAAACATATCTAACAAACCATAGTTCCTTAACTTTTTAATGGTGGATGGAAATCACAGTAACTATGAATTGATAATAGTTACTCAGGAAATTAGTTTTAGTTTTACTTAAAATTTAAAAAAACACACACACATTCCTCAAATCACATAGATTAGCTTTTCATAAATACTGTCTCAATATAATTTTCAATTGATGCTCATTTTCACTATATTTTTCAATGACTGTTATAGTTCTGCCTTGGACAACTGGGTCACAATTTGAATCCATGGGGCACTGGGGGATTCTCCAGGGTGCCTTTTCAAGAATGTGGGTTAGTAAAAAAAGTTAGTATTTTGAGTAGATTGTCTTTACAAAGCTACGAAGTTGGATAAAATGTAATACTGCTGTGCGACTCCGGGTCTATCTAGGATTTCCCAAAAGTAACTTACAATTAAAAGTGAACAAAGTGTTCCAGGATTCACATGAGGCTATGATCACTTATCCCCTCCTTGCCTTCATACAGAAAATCCCGGGAGATGAAATGTACTTACAACTTAACCTGGAGACTTGGTACTTTTTATATCTTGTGGATACATTTTTACCTATTGTAGATACATCTGTCCAAGATGAAACTAGTTTTCAAATGTGACACCTTAAGTGAACTTTGTGATAAATACTTTTAAAAGAAAATATTAGTAGCATAATTTAGGAATTTTAATGTACTTATTAGAAGACAGAGAAACTAGGCAACCAATATTCCTACCTGATGTGTAATAGTTACATGTTTAATTGACCTGATCATCAAATTTGATGCTGAGATTTTACTTCATTCTAGTGATGTCTTGAAAATGCTTCAAGCTTTTCAAGAACATAGCCAAAGAAAATGCAATGTGTCCACCAGGATATATATATTTATATTTGCCAACGTTAGAACAAAGTAAAGCAAGCCCTGCTATAATGAGTAAAACCATTAGAAAAATGAGATTTTCTGACCCCCATGCCCTATCACTTTACTTATGGAGTAAAACATTTTTTAAAAATTTCAGTCAATAAAAACATGGATACAGAATATTCTATTGTTCCCAAAATGTCCATTTTAAAAGCCATCTTTTTCTTACAGTGTTTATACAGAAAGTAAAATGTGTGAGTTTAATAGGGACAGCAGTGCATACCTTGAACACACAGGTTCATTTATGGGAGAATGCCAACTTTTTGCATCCCCAGGTCACCTCAGTTTTGTAGAAAAGTTAAAATAAAACGTTAAACTTCAGCTAATAGTGAAGAGAAATTAGTAACCAATATAGAAGTGAAAAATAATTCACTTATTTTTCTGGAAACAAGAAGCTTCCATTCATTCAAACGTGCCTGGAATGAAATCTAGAACACTTCCGCATCTCCCTCCCTCACTTTTCTCCTACTGAATATGCCTTGTTTTCTCTTCACCTATGTTCCTTTGTCTAAGGGGAGGGGAGATGCCAAGAAACAGTGCTTTAAAGAGAGTAAGCTGCCAGCAGGAAATTCTTGGAACCTGAAGAATGTTAACCCCACCCAGTGTTTAGCAACGTCTCTGGGGTGACGGTAGGTCCTGGCTTGCTGGGACAGCCCTGGCTTATGTCTGTGGTCCCACCGTAACCATGTTAACAATAGCTCTTTGTACTCACATCTGTGTCCCAATTCAGACAACATACAGTGACCCCATCTTTATGTCTCCTTTTCTTTTTTTAAAATCTTGTAGAATTTGCTTTATCCTCTCCAGAGAAGGTACACCTTAAACAAAAGGGCCCAACACCATCTTTCTGACTGGGATGGGAGCCTCGTGAACAGAGAGGAACTTGTCATCTTCTCCTGCGTGGTTACCCTCAAGCCACTCTCCATCCAGTGACCCCACACCCAACCCCTTTCTGGTCCCATTGTCCTTCACAGCCCCTGGGCTTGGCGTCCCGAGCTTGTAACCCCTGGACCAGACTGGACAGGGGACAAGATGA